CATCAGCGAAGTCCAATATGCGTAGATAACTTCCCGTTCCATTTTTCCATTGAACTGTGTAACATCTGTAACAATAAATGCAAGTTTTTTTTGCTACAATGAAAAATAATTGACTGACTTTCATCGTACCACAAATTTCCGGCCAACTTACCATGGGTTAACTTTTAGGCCTAGAGTAAGAATGTTTTAATTATGATGATTGGAAATAAGCTTAGGCGCATTATGGATGTTACATAAATTGTTACAGACGTTACGTTGCAGACGTTACAGCTTTACTAAAGACACTATAGAGCTTTATTTTTATTTACCACCTACATAAGATATAACCCCTCCTTACAAATGCTACATCCTGGAAGTGCCTGCAGCATAACTCATGACCCTGAGGGGTGCAGACCACTAATTTAAGTGAGAGTTTCTAGCCAGCTCATTAGCATTAAAAGTGCCCCCACAGTATCTTTTGAAAAAGGAGATTGTTTGGCCCCCAAAATGGTGCGATTGTGCAAATCATTGCCAGGATCAACTCCCTGGGTCTTTGAGCTTTCATATGAGAGCAGAATGGCTAAAAACTACTCTTCAAAAATGGTCCTAAGTGCCTGAGAAAGTTGAGGGTTGCCACTTGAAAAATGGCTGCAATCAAACTTCGGAAAATCACTTTTTTTTGGGGGGGGGTGATTTTGTATTGTGGGAATAATTAAAACTGTAATTGGTTAACCCACAAAAACTGAAAAGCAATTGAAAGATTAGGGACCAGACAATAATTTCATTTGTGTTTCTGAAATCTCAGGGATGTTGGTATGCATAATGCATGTTATTGGGCCCTGAACAATGCTGATTTTACACTGTTTTCAATGGGGCTTGAATTATTGGACTGTACCCCTCAGGATGAACACGTGTGGATATTAATGGGCACATGTTGAGTTGGCAATATTTGGACAGCCCAGTAGAGTAAAGTTTTATATCTTTTCTTCTGGTATTCGGGTGAGTTTTCACTTTTTTATCATTAAAAATTATCCTTGAGTATTGTAGATGAATTGCAAAAAAATTCCATTGTGTATTATTAAACAGTCAAGCCATAGTGGGTAGGCCTATATTAGCCTATAAAAAGTTTTAAGAAAACATGTTCTGTGTGTACACAGGCCAATAAATGTACCAGTACATACCGCACATTTCTCAATATTAAATATGAATCCATATTCTGGAAGAAAAAAAATGAAAATTTAATAACTAATCTAGTAATGAGGAGTATATAGATTCTGTATCATTAGAGTTGATTAGATTATAATTTTAATGTGGCTATGCAGGTGTAATCAGTAAACGACATTGTAATATTCTTTTTATGCATCAGTACAAACAATTTCGGCTGACCATAAATTTTTAACTGTTTAGTTTACCCTCTTATTAAATTTCTTTTACTGTATAATGCTCTATAATATTCACTTGATTATCATTAGTTAAGAAAAATAAATTAAAATTTCAAATGTCAGTAATTGTAACAAAATTCAATGGTCCTGATTATTATTTTCAGAAAGGGAAAGACCAGTAAAGAGTGAGTTTTGTAAGAGACTTAAAAACAGTCCTGAAAAGCTTGAGGAACAAAAGAAGAAAGATGCCCTATGGAAAAAGCAAGAACGTCAGAAGAAAAAAATGAGACCACAAGAGCTTAGTGATCAGAGAACCAATGTTCGTAAAAGAGTTCGAAAACATTGAGAACTCAAAGCTAAAAATAAACAGAATGGTTCCTCTCCAGCATACAAGAGAATTAACATCCTAAAAAAAGCAAAAATCAAAACATTGTAAAATGACTTTTCTATCCTGTTATGGTGGTGAGGAAAACCGGTTCCACCAGGTTTAAATTATACCCCATTTTGGACCAAAAAGTGATTATTTACCTTTTTTCAAGTTCAAGTTGTGTAGGGCTGTGTCTGAGGGGTGTGGGGGGTGTACAAGTACCTCAAACGGAGGATATTCTTTCCCTGTCCTCGTAGCATCACCACTTAACATTAATTACTTGGATGTATACACAAATGTATGTTTAAAAGAAAGTTGTTAATAGATGTTGTGCCCTTGCATTTTCATACACGTAACATCCGTAACACCAATAAGTAACGTCCATAACAACTTAATTAGCCTACAAATATAAAGTGTTTAATTCAAACTTGCTGTTTGTGATAACATGGAGTGAAGTCGGACCTATTTGGGAACAGGTGGTTAAAAAGACAGAAGCAAGTAACTACACAGAGTTTTACCATTACGTGTACATGTATGTTCAATATGCAAAAAAGCCATGTCATCATGTGTAACGTCCAGAATTTTCCGCTGTTCTTGGCAGGAAGTGAAAAGCACATCCCTAACTACCGGCACAAGGATGCTGGGAGAGTCATTAAAGTCTGTAGATGTTCTGAATCCATTGAAATACCAGGCCTTGGATTGGGTGTGTTCAGGGCTTCATGGTGTTTGAAAACAGTTTAGACAGGACAGCAGACCATCCTTTGTACATTCAAGGTGACTTGCATGTACATGTTCAATTGTACAAAAATATATTGAGCTTGAGCAAAGAGCATGTGCTCAGATCAAGTCTTGCTTGTAAATTATAAATATCCCATGTTTGAAACCTTCCTTGAGCTGGCTTTGGGACATCTCTTTTGAGGGGAGGAGGGATGTTCTGTATTGAAAGCTAATACCGTTGATTATGCTTGAATGTCTAAGAAGTCTCCAAGGGTTTGACGGCATAAAAATGACCCCATTGCAAAATATAGTGAGAAATGGAAGCAGTGCTTGGCATTTTGGCAAAGATTCAGGACACTGGAGCAGGAAATGTGGAGTCTATAATGCCTCATAAATCAGGGATGGGTGTCCGTTAGGGATAAACAGCCACCCATAGCCTGGTTGTTAACGTTCACAGTGACATAATCCACAGTCCACTATATGTACATGTACGCTCTCATCATTTGAGGCATAGCTATAGGTGATCTCTTGACTGGATCCCTAAACTTCAATTGAACAACAATGTGTAAAAACCGTTAGCCATAAATTTTATAGGTCATATCGTGTTTGCCATATGTACACGTACATGTACCTTGTATACTAATCATTGCAAACTGCAAAGTTGGTATTTTTGTAAAATCTTAACTTTCTTCAATTGAGGTTGCATTATGTTTGTAAAGACCCTGTTTGTTCATGTTAGTGTTCATGGAAAAAAAAAGACAAACATTTATTTTACATCCCGTATGTCAAGCTTCAGGGCCATTTTTGAACTATATAAATACTGTACTGGAGCAGGTACTTTATGACTGTGTAATTAATTAAGCTGCACTTCTGTTCAGGTGCTAACCTTCAAGTTCTTATATTCATACATTTCATTCAGTGCATAAACATGAAAGATGAAATCTTATTTGATATCCCCTGGATGTACATGTATACGATACCATAATTATGAAATATTGTTACTGGTGTCTGTATATGTGCTACATGTAAATTTGAAATGCCATTTGGTCGTCTTCATAATATATTCGGCCTGAGGCTGTCTCATTCTCAGCTCCATACAGTTTGGCAAGAGCAAATAAACAGGCCATTGCCTTTATGTCAGGCCTGGCCTAGTGGCCTGGACAGGTCCCTGTTAGCACAATCTATTTCCCCCGGCTCATTTAATAACTGGTCTGGCATCCATCCATGTACACGGTTGCATAAACTGCACCTGCATCTCCCTGTGTGGAGTCAGAGACCAGACGTCACCCAAGAGACTTGAATTGTGAGAGCGCCGACTCCCAGAACACTATAGTTTTTGTCCTGGTTACTTTTCACTGGCAGCTCTGGCCATAGAAAATGAGAAATGCTCACCTCAAAAAGTAGGCCTATGGCACTCAACTCTTCAGATTGGGCTTGGCATTAAATTGCATCTTTTTTGAGGCTTGTTTTTTTCAGACTTTCAATTGATATTTTCTTGCCCTAGGACCAAACATCTGGGATGTCCCAAGAGACTGGTACACACCAACATGAATGATGCACTTGTGCTCATGTGTACTCATCATCACAAATTCCACTTTTTTCTTAGAATTTGGTCACATGCAAACTGTGTGTGTGTAGGCATTGTAATACCAGCTTTTCAAAAAATCTTCTAAAATTTCCTATTGATATCATTCAAAATTTCATTCCAACTGATTAATGCGTCTGATGCTTTCTTATATGTACATACACATTTGTGTGTGCATTTAACCCTAGTCTTCCCTAACCACACAGAATTGAACACCAGTAAAGTGTGTGAATTTGTGGCATTGGGTACTGTACCCCTAAACTGCTTGTGCTTTAACATGGGTTCAGGCATACCCAAAATAAACTGAGTCCAACAGTTTTGTGCACAGTTTACCATATGTTGAATTTGTGTGAACGGGTTTGGTTCCTAGTAAATCACTTTGGGGAGTTGGGGTTAATGTGATAATCTATGCGGTGTAGAAGTCAGCTTTGGGCTTCTCCATAAATTTCTGTCAGATAGTTGACAGTACATACTATCAAATACAGATAGCTTTTATACCGGTACATGTACACCATGTACAGAAAGACTCAATTATAAACTCATCTCTCAAAGTTCCCTTTGATGAAAATTCCTTCCAGAGTCAAAAATTCCTTTAATTTGATTTTATCCTGAACTTCCTCATTTTTAAAAAAGTTTTTTTATTGTACAGATTCGTAGAATACGGTGCATGATTTTGCAATAATAGTCAATGAATTTAAGACCGTACATAGTATGTACATGTATAAGCCCAATCACTGTTGCATGTACTTTGATGCTTTCTAACGGTTATACAATATGCAGCACAGCCTGGCTATGTGTTGCGACTTTGGAGAAGTACATGTAGAACTGCTTTCCCACTTTGATTTGTAGGTGGCAGGTACTTACACTGCTTGGAGTCTCTTTATTTAGGGAATTCTTTCTGCCTTATTGTAGGGTGATGTGCTTTGGTGGAAAGAAGAACTCATCTGTTTTGTTTGTGTATTCTGTACAGGTGCAAAGCAGTCGTCCACCTGCTGTTGTCTTCAGTTTTCCCGTTGTACATAGGCGTGGCAACATGAGGCAGCTATTGCTTCTCCTTGTTGCTGTGATTGGATGCAGTGCACAGGGTAAGTAGAAGAAGGACCCAAAGCACTGTGGGAGAAGGTGTTCCTTCGCAGTAAAGGATGCCATCTGTCAATGTCTCTTCCAGGAGTTTGAATGCCATTTGATCTGTTTTTTTTTTTTTTTTTTTCTGATGTGAGGTGATACTGGAAGATGATCCCTAACTTCCTACTTGTTTTTATCAGTTTAAAACCGTGTCATTCTGTGTCTGCTCTGGGGATAAGCTTGTCAATCAGCTTAATAACTTCATTGTGCACAAAGTGCATTGGCACTAGTTCTGTCCAAATCCTCAAAATGAAAACTGAACAGATGCGAGAGTTGTTTACTGATAAGTCCCCTTCCCCTTTTCAAGATGTCCTGCCCACAGCACTCACAGAAAATCTTAAGAAGAACTCCACTCTTTCCAAATTTCAGAATATACCGGACTGGAAGGGACTGGACCTCACATGGTGAAGCAACCCCTGGACACTGTCTTTAATGAAGACAGCAACATCGAGTCTGTGTACCTAGACTGTGAAGCTGATGGCAACGAGAGACCCACATACACCTGGCAGCGAAATGGCGAAGTGATAGACACTGGGGCTGAGATCAGATTCCAGCTGTCTGGAGGAAGACTGACCATTGAACAACCAGACAGGGTAATGGACGCTGGCACTTACCAGTGCTTCCCGTCCAACCAGATCGGGACCATCATGAGCAGGAAGGCCAAGTTGGAGTTTGCCTGTGAGTATCTGTAATGGTCACTTTTATCGAGCCTGCTCTCTTCTCCTTTGGAGACATTCTCACATAAATACTGTCGGTTGATATTGAAGTGATGGCCACCTTGATGTCCAAAAATCTTCAAAAAATAAACTGACTTGGCAGAATTCAGAATAGTTAAATAGTCAAAGTTGAAAGGTCAAAAGTACATGTGTGTATGCCCCTAGTCACGCTGGTATAAGTACCTTTTTAAGTTCAGAAATGAGTATTTTCCTGACAGCTTGCTCATCCTTAAGTTCATTGCTGGTTCTACTGTCTTCTCAGTGTGCATTATTCCGGTCTTCATTTGGAAAATCATTCCAGATGTAGATATATATATCTAAAGCATCACAGGGATTTACACAAATGTTGTACTGAAGATTTTATTACCGTACTTTGTTTTAGTTAATTGCATGATCGTTGCTTAGACTATGACCTCGCATTAGCCACAGTGTTCACATTACACTTTCCTACATGTTTTATGGCATTAAGGTGAGATACGATCCACCGAACCCCTGTATGAAAGCACACGTAACTCAGTGTATGACATCATTACGCTTTAGGTCCATTGGTCGAATGGTTCCCTGAAGCTCTCTGACTGATTTTCTTCTACAGATCTGAACTATTTTCCGGAGGTGGGCCCAGCGGACATTACTATACCCCTCAACTCAGGACAGTGTATATCATGCGAGGTACCAGAACACTATCCAGGTACTTGTTCACCCATCATCTTTTAGACTTGAAGAGCTTAAAGTGGTTTCCGGGTACTTTTTTCACCATCAAATACCGAGATGTGTGTTATGATCACAGTGGGAGATACATTGACAACAAACAGCAAATGAAGTTAGCAATAGAAGGAAACCAACTTCATGTTTGGGGTTCATTAGGGTACTTTTGTTTTCACATTGCTACAGAAGGACCTTGCCATAAAGTCCTTTAAAAACTTCCCAGAAACATTTGCCATAAAGTCTTAGTGTTTCCAAGACTTTAATTTTGATTCTCAGCGTCCGAACTCTTTAATTTCTCCTGGTATTTTCTCTCCAGCGTCTGTATTATTCAGCTTTATGGATACAAAACTACCATGACATCTGACAGTTGGATGTCGCTTGGAATCCTGAACACATTCAACTACAACCATGCAATTAAATTTGTAAAGTGTCAGTTGATGGCAGGATCTGTGGGTAAACAATTGATGAAGCTTGTAATCCTCTTTATGCGTGTTCATGTGGCACCAAGTGCACAAAGTCCTTTTGTCACTGCTCCACTATTTATGAGCAGTCAGGAGACCAGACAGAAAGAAGGTACATTATGAAGCTGTTGGCTATACTTGGTAAGCTCACTTTACATCGCTTGCTTTTCCACTTTGTAACGCCCACAGGTGTGGAAGTAATCTGGTACAATGATCCCTTTCCGGTTGTGTCATCATTGCGGACACATACGACCATCGACGGACGACTGTGCTTCGCTTATTTCAAGGAATCGGACGTGGGGACTTACAAATGTTTTGCACGCAACAGCATTGACACTGGTGGCGGGTCATCAGCCAACAAGTTTAGTGACACGTTTGCAGTAACAGCTGGACCAGCAAGTAGGTCTTAGATAATTCATATACTGATAGGATACGGAACAAGTTTCAATTTAAGTACACAAATCAGTAGCGTTATTCAGCAACCAGAATGCGAAGCCATTAATTTGGTGGCATAATGCTCTTGAACAGGTGGTATGCGCGCGTTACATGCCTCTTCCACCAATAGGGTGTCAAGGTTTTTCCAAATACACGCACAGGTATTGTCTTACCGTGTTCTCGTTGACTTTATTTTGATTTTTTACCCTTTGCACAGCTGGGGCAGCTGAGTTTGGACCCACTGTAGCCATTGCAGTTGAAGATCAAGAGGTCCTGGTGAACACAGAGGAAGTTACGCTGAGTTGCTTCTTCTTTGGCAAGTCAGTAGTCATTTGAACCCATTGTAATATAGACGTACATGTACCTCGGCAGATTCAGTCAGATGTTGTCATGTCTTAGTAAAGTAATACAAAGCTGATTTTTGAATGGGTAGTCAAATTCTGTGTTTTCATATGCACCTTGTTCTGTGAGTCATGCTCTAGCACAATCTGTTTTTCTTTGTTCTATCAAGTTCTTCCTGTTCTGTTAGCTGATTGATCTTTGACATAAATACCCGGTAGGGAATAATTTTGGTTTTTTGGCATTTTTCTTTCTAGCCCTGCACCAAGTATTCAGTGGCGTAGGAAAACCCCAGCGGGGGCCGGACTGCCGACTCTGTACGAGCTGAAATCCTCCAACCAGATTCTGGTTCTTAAAAACATTCAGGTGGACGATGCTGGAGAATATGAGTGCTACACTGAGGAGGGTGATGGCCGATCATCAGGCAATGTGGTTGTCAGAGGTAGGTGGTTAGGGAAAGGATTAACATCAACTCTTGTCCAGATTCTCGTTACCATTGTTTATCCGTGGGTGCATGTAGCACTTGTAACCCAAGTGGATTGGTTTTTTAGCATTCTCTTGGATGCTTGTCAAGAGCTTGTGTGAAACAAAATCTTGATGGGTTTCCATTTCGTTTTTTCCATATCATAAAAATCAAAGAATTTAGTTAGACTGAATTTGAGAATCAGCATCTTGATGATTCGTTATTGTATAAAGGTAGTTGATTATTAAAGACATGTATTGACTTGCTAAGTTTTATAGCTCTGGAGTCATGTTTTTAGCTTCTCATAGTACGAGAACAGTCAGGGTTAAAATTTGAACTCAGGATAGTTGCCTGCAGTAACCTCAGTGACAGATACTCTTTAATTAATGGGTAGAAAGGGCTTGGAGAAGCGTAACTTTGACACAGTATGCAGGTAGTGTTACCCAGCATTATCAGTAAACTTGAATGAGTAGGCATGGAATGCTTCAGCTGTTTCAGTCAAGCCCATCACAAGAAAGGTAGGACTTGAGCAGTCAGTCTTTCGGAGTACAAGGGCCAATGCCGTGTCTCGTTTTTTGGTTTTTTTTTTCAGTGCCGCCCACCTGGGTTCAAGAAATTGCAGATATGGAGGGCAATATCTATGGAGATGCGACCTGGGAGTGTGAAGCAGAGAGCCCTGACGGTGTCAACTACAAGTGGTACCGCAATGCTGAGGAGATCGTCAACCTGCCGCGACACCAACTCAGCAATGGCCTGAAGACATTGACCATCACAAACTTGACAGTAGAGGATACAGGGATGTACCAGTGTGCGGCCAGTAACGATTATGGTATCATCTACACTACAGGACAGCTGACTGTGCTAGGTGAGGAATCCACCACTGTTTTCTTAGGGGTGTTTTATTGTTGCTTTGTGTTGTCCCTTTTGAGGTGCAATTTGTGAGTTGGATGAAATCTGTGGGGCAAAGAAGGGATTAGTTGTAGAGAAGGGTAGGAGAGACCCCCGAGAAATATTCTGAAGAAAATCACGGAAGGGAACAATGGAATATCCTGGGGAGACCCATGGAATTAGACAGGGATTCTTCAAGATGTATTTTTAATTTTTAAATTTTTTTTTTTGCATTGGGGGGATGTTAATTTATATAACAGGTTTTGCCCTTACTCAACGTATATATTAATGAACACTGTATGCTCAGTGCTTGTCCAAGAGCTTGCAGAAAAAGTCATAAGCTTACTCGGGTGGGATTCGAACCCACGACCTCCTGCTTACTAGTAGAGACGTCTTAACCACTCGACCACCGAGCTTGCCGGGGTCAGCTGGCCGGGCCGAGTCAGGTGAAGCAGCGGGTACCGCGAACTATTTTCAAGATGTATTTTTTTGCATTGGGGAGATGTTAATTTATATAACGGGTTTTGCCCTTACCCAACGTATATATTAATAAACACTGTATGCTCAGTGCTTGTCCGAGAGCTTGCGGAAACTAGTGCAGACGTCTTAATGTCTGCACTAGTAAGCAGGAGGTCGTGGGTTCGAGTCCACCCGAGTAAGCTTATGACTTTGTCTGCAAGCTCTCGGACAAGCACTGAGCATAAAGTGTTTATTAATATATACGTTGGGTAAAGGCAAAACCCGTTACATAAATTAACAGGAATTCTTCATTACATATACATGGATTTGTTGCCTGTTCCAGCCATGAAGCCTTGGTTCGAAACTGAGCTTGAGCAGGATCAGCCGGCGCCCCGCGAAGGCTCAGTTACTATCATTTGCCAGCCAAAGGCTGCCCCGACACCGACCATCCAGTGGACCAAAGGAAGTCAGATTCTCAGCAGCAATGGGCATTATATTATCCTGGATAATGGAAACCTAATGATCGTGGACGTGGTCGATTCAGACGCTGGAGAATACACCTGCACCGCCACCAACAGCATAGGAAGTAGCTCTAGCACAGGGTCCATCGTCGTAAAAGGTACACTGATCTGTTCCTCATTACATGTCTGTCATTATTTTTGGGTGTTCACACAATGTGTATTTGGCAGATGTCCATGTACACATCAATATGCATGTTGAACTGTCGCCCAGCTTGCCTGGGCAATAGTCCACTACGTATGCGCTTTACCTGCCAACTGTTGAACTGTCATATAGGGTTGTGTGCATATGCTCAACTGTTGCCCAAGGTACTCATGAATAGATGGTCAGCCCTTTCCTTGTGTTCAATTAGGCTTTATATCTGTAAGGTATGGTGAAATAGATTCAACATTGGTTGTTTCAAGTACATGCATTCCTGCAGTATTCCAAGTTGAAAAAATAGTTAATTTAACACCCAACATCTACATACTGTGACTTTTAGTGTTTGTTTTAAATTTCAAGCTAAAATGTAAAGTCTATAAATGCCTATAAGATCAAGACCTAAACTAAAAACAAAGGATGGGTAAATTTTGCAGATGTGTTGAATTTTGAAGGACTCGTTGGATTTTTTGAGTCCAGCCCAAGGGATTTGTCCTTTGTCTCATTAAAGATGGTTGGTTTCTGTTTTAAACCCACTTAGATGGGACTAAGATCACTCAAGGGCCCACCGACTTGGTAATCAACGAAGGAGAAATGGGCACACTGACGTGCCAAGCATCTTACGATCCTTACTTTGAACTACGTTATATCTGGTTGAAGGATGGTATCCAAGTCAACACCCAGTCGGCCAGCTATGAGCAACCTGACGTATGTATATGATGTTTCAGCACACTCAATGTGTGCATGCCCTCCAAGGCTATGAAGATATTTCCTTTCTCGTTTAGTGACCGACTTGAACTGCTAGTAAAATAATAACGGACTCAGATGCGACACAAGAATGCCTAGTAAAGATTTCTTGGCTAAAGAATATGCCAGCTGTATGTATGTCATTGCCAACAAAAGCCCAAATTTACTGAAGTAGTTCTGAATTAGTTTCAAGTTTTGAGAAATTGGCAAAAGTGTGAATGACCCTCTGATCATACTTCTGTACCCTGTTGTAAACAAGTGGTAACGAATATGATATCAAATTGATATGATATCAAATTGATATGATATCAAATTGATTTGATATCAAATTGATTTGATATCAAATTGATTTGATATCAAATTGATTTGATATCAAATTGATTTGATAATGGCACTACTATGCCAGATTGGTAATGGTCCCAAGTCAGAATGCTGAGGACTGCACTGGTTTTGGATGTCATACAGATCGGTACTGGCGAGGTAAGCCAGCTTCACATCAAAGATGCCTCCATGGACCTGGGTGGCGAATACTCCTGTCAAGCCATTACCATCATTGACGAAGCATCAGCCTCGGCCATGGTCACCATCAGAGGCCGGCCTGGACCCCCCGCAGGCATCAGCGTGGTGGTTAGTGGACTGGCTGCCAATGTTAGCTGGAGCCATGGTGCTGACAACAACAGTCCAATCGAATCTTACATCATCGAGGGAAGCACCAATCATGTCCCAGAGTTCACTGTCCTCCGAAGTGGTACTTATCTTGTTCTATCATTCATTTTGTTGAAACACTTGAGTTTGTTTAATCCTTGCTCTAACTCCAATCTGCTTCAGTGTTCACTTTCATGATTGCATCATGTGTTGCCATGGAAACATCACTACAGTGGAGGTCAACCACACGCCACAAGGAATACCAAGTGATTTCTTTGATATGCGCAAAAAACGCCCTCCAATATATTCCATTTGGAGTGTTTGCTGATAAGTTATGGCATCCTCTAAAGTCCTTTGTGTGGCCTAACATCGCACATCCAGAGCAAGGGTTATAACAGCAGGTGTCTGTGAGGTTTATACTTTTGTCACCAGTTTAACATTAGAGGGACAGGTAAAGTGGAAGGTAGTAAGTTGAATGTGTGTACCGTAGTACTGTGGTGCCGTTAAGATGAAGGCACAAGTATGAAGATCATTCATGTGGAAAAGTTGTAACACGAGGAATGTGATTGGGGCAATTTCCAAAGCTGTTGTCACCGATGTAAATGGATTTGGCTTTGAAAACAGAGTCACTACTTAAACTCCACCCAAATCTGTGGACAGTTGGTCAAGTACTAAGGATCTTGTAATTGTTGTATCTCTGCTTTGGTGTGTACCAGGTATCCCCGCTGCTAGTAGGCATATTCGTCTGACTGGCCTGTCAGCTTGGAGCAGGTATAGGTTCAGGGTTATAGCGGTCAATGCAGTAGGTCAAGGTCAGCCCAGCGAGGAGTCTGATGAGCAGGAGACGGCGCAAGACCGTAAGTTGTGTCCAAATCACACTCCTCTTTCTCTTACTTTTACTTGTGGAGGACATCACAGCAGTTTGTCAGACTTCATTCTCTGCATGTCTGTCTGTTGGAAATATACACGTGGAAAATGCAGAAGTCTTGCAGGATTTTTTTTTGGGGGGGGGGAAGTTTTGGGGGACTTCTTGTTTGGAAGTCTTGAAGGATTTTTCTTGTTTGGAAGTGGTGCAGGATTCTTTTCTTTTTCAGCAAGGGATGGGAGTTGATTATTTCTTGATTTGATTTACCAGGTCCAGTGGAGCCCCCTGCAAATGTGGATGGAGGAGGAGGTAGTGATGGTGACCTTAGAATCACATGGGAGGTATGGGAAACAAGAGGAAATCACACCAGTACAGTGGCAAGAGATAGACAGCCTTGCTCTTGCGTTTGAAGAACCATCTTCCTTGCAATTTGCCGTGATTGCTACACGATGTCCAATTTACATTCTCAGTCTTTTTGTCATTGAATGCAAACTTCTAACTTCAAACTATATTTTGTCAGGTTTACTTCTGTTTGTCTGTATTTTTCATCATGATTTGCCTACAGCAATTATCTTGAGGACGATTTTTTTGGTAGCTTCTCCCGCAAAGACAACACAACAGATTGTGTTTGCCCTTTTTGTATCAAGGGAACGCCTCTTCACCCTCAAAGAGCTGGGTTATTTTGGCTTTTCTCATGGCAGGGGGGGGGATGATGCCAAGAACTTGGCTGTGCCACTTTCAGTTTTTTTGAAACATGAGGCATGCATCTGTAAACACTTCTTATCATTACCAATATGAAATTGGAACTCAAACAGAAATATTTAAAGTTCAAGGCTACTCCTGTGCCAGCCCGTAAATATAGAGCACCACGTTGGAAAACCATACATTCGTGGCTGACCTGTCTTGGAAAAATGGGCACTGCACAAGAATGGTTTGATTTTCACAAAATTGATGTCAAAATGACTGCAAAAAGCTACTCAAAAACTCCTGAAGACTCAGCTCCTCAAAAAATTCATTGTAGCCATATCAACATGAAGGCTCTTTTAGGGTTTAACATGGCCTCAAGACAAAAGGATCTACAGCTAAAAATGTTTTATAAATATTTTTCCTAACCAATAAACAGCCTCTGCCGATGCAGAAATGGAATGCGCCAGGTCTGACTTACATAGTCTACTGGCGGCAAAAGGATTCAGGCTTAGAGTTCCAGGAGCAGGAAGTCAACGATTCGTCAGTCGGGGAGTTTGTGACCTCAGGGGTACCAGCGTACACTCCATTTGATGTCCAGGTTCAAGCCAAGAATGTCAGAGGAGAAGGCCCCAAGAGCCCATTGGCTGAGGTTTACTCCTTCCAGAGAAGTGAGTACAATCTTTGCTCCCTCTCCCGTTGCCTGGCTTCTAAAGTGGCAGCCTCAAGAAGATAACTGCGGAGAGATCTCGGTGAAAGTCTGAAGTTTGTGAATTTGTTGAGTGGTCCTATATCAGATTTTCCCAAGGTATGGAAGATTGTTACCTTGATAGGCTCTGAAGAAAGAGCGATGAGCACCAGTTAACTTTCAGTTGTGTTTACTGAGCAAGACTTGTTATATTGCACAAACTTCTGTTCTTGGCAATTATGGCATTTCTCCCTATCTGTTGAAATTGCTAGGTCCGGACGAGGCACCAACCAATGTTGCAGCTGACCCTGTGTCAGCAACCTCCATCCAAGTCTCTTGGACTGGCATAAACGAAGAGCAGATTGTTGGAGTACTGGAGGGATATATGGTAATGTACTGCCACTATCAGCTGATTTTCACATTGTGTACTGGTAATCTACTGCCACTATCAGCTGATTTTCACATGGTGCACTGGTAATCTACTGCCACTATCAGCTGATTTTCTCATGGTGCACTGGTAATCTACTGCCACTATCAGCTGATTTTCACATGGTGCACTGGTAATCTACTGCCACTATCAGCTGATTTTCAAGGAACATTTAAGACCAGCCAAGCACGTTTTTATTCTGTTACTAATGCTCAAAGTGAATTAAAAAATTCACATTGATATTGGCTGGCAACTTCGTGCATATACCAAGGACACCGCTTGGTCTCGTTAAAAGTAAAAGAATCTTCTTCAAGTGTAATTAGTACTGAAAATTCTGTAGTCATGCAGTGTGCTTGCACCCATGTAATTGGTCAAAAGTATTTATGTAGATGTTTATATTTTCAGAAAAAGCACAGACTCAGCTTTCAAAAGTCCTGTATTTGTTTACTTTGTGACTTTTTTGGATTGAATCAAGTATTAGTGCATGAATTTTAAGAATGGTTGTGTTTGATGTGGTTGCGTTGTTCACAGATTAAGTATTGGACTGAGGACTCTACCCAGGAGCTTGCTGAAAATATCAGGAGCCCAGGGTCTGGAACAGAGGCTACAATCGAAGGACTGGAGCCTAATACCGTCTACAACATCCTTGTCTCGGCCTATAGCGGGGCTGGCAGTGGGCCTCCCAACTCTGAACCTGTTCAGGTCACTACCCTCAAATCTGGTAAGCAAATCTTAATGATCAGTCAGTTGTTAGTCTCCGTTCCTTTTGGTCACAGTTCTGCTCTATTCTGATGGACAAAAACATGAGCTACTGGGGTAAGGCAAACTGTTGAATGTGGTGTAGGGGCTGGCAAGAAACCATGATGACAATCATATCCACGCTGGATGCTCCAGTAATGGTGTACATGTACTTAAGTTACATAAGATGTCCAATATTTGAGTTGGGACTGAAAAATTGAATGACAAAAACTTTGTGGGAAAGTTAGATAAAAATGCAATTAAATGTTGTAATTATCTTAAGACACTTCCAGATTGAACTACTGTGAATGTGGGACTGGATCAAGTCCGAATCCGCCTGCTGTCGGTTGTCCATGTGACAGTAAACTTCACCTGTTTTATGTTTGACTGATATCAACATTGCCAAAAGTCAACAAACTCCAAATTGAACATGCTCATGGTCGTACAGGCATGTCATTCATATTGAGCATAAAACAGCTGAGTCAACTACGCCATTATTGGTTATTGGTTGATAACCCTATGGCTTTGTAGCTGGCCCACTTGTGAAAACATGAAGCCTGTAGACCCGATGGTACGTCAAAAGCGAGGCATGCCATAAATGTTCCCTTGTGGAAAGAGAGCATCCAGTGTTATGTCAGAAGTTAGTTCTTTCTCCCCTGCCACATTCAGCAACTTGGGGGACAACCTTTAGGAGCTTCTGCACACAACTACACAAAGACACAGAGAAGAAACTTGCTTAGAAGAACTGACCATCAGCCAAACAGTCACAGGGCATTCACTGCTTACCACAGGTTGTTCCCGTTTATACGATTTTCTTACATTTCCTGCGGAACAGCTCTTGTTACCTTCAGATTCCCACAAGCAAACAATCGGTGTTGGATAAGTTTGTAGAATAGGATATGCACCATCATCTCAAGAAGTCTTGCGTATAGCCATTTTCCATGCTTGGGGATACACATCCTCAAGTTTTCCCTTTATGCCACTTGTATTTACTGCAACTTGATCTTGGTGAGCACATTTCTTTGCATTTTCACAAAGTGGTGGTTGTAAAGACCAAGCAGTTCATATTCCAAAGGGCCATGTCATCTTTTTACCTGAAAATTCATGCCTGCCTTGCCAACGTTAATTTTCAAGTAAACCAAAAAATTATTGCAAGCATTTTTTTAATATTTGTTCCGTTTACGGAGAGACTGATGCAGTCTTGTTTTCATTTTCCCAATTCAGAATTATTGAAATGGAATGATTTGAAATGACTTGATACCCCACTGTACAGTATGCCTACCGATAAAGTTCAGTCACATTTAGTTGAAGCACCAGCTATCCTAACAAACCTTACGTTAGTTTTGTTAAACTGATGACGCTGTTGCATCATAACTTTGATAAGGACAGAGAGTGTTCTTTGCTGCATTGGCATTCCTAAATATTAGTTTTAGGCATTGCCAAGTTTCCCGTATTTTAAAATTTCCTTCTTTGTCACATTATGATGCAATTTACCTATTCGTTTAGTGTTTAGTTTCTCCCTGTTAGTAGCATTTTTGTTTCACATTGATCAGAAATTGATATCCCAGTAATCATTTATGACCTACAGTAGTTGTGATTCAGACGTTGTTGTGTATTGATTCATGTATGTAGAATGATGTATTGATTCATGTATGTAGAATGATGATGGTGTGATGTCTGTTTCTTTATGTGCAGCTTAAATGTATGTCCAGATAGCTTGGGTTGAGTGCTGCTGTAGCCCTATGTAGAGTGTATGTGTCAGGGTTTCACAAGTGTACTCAAACCTATGTGGTTATTCAAAGGGTCACTTGGGTATTCCAAATGAGCATGCTGAAACTGTCGTAGGTCATTTCGGATAATCAATATGTCTACAGATCAGCTCAAAAATACACTGACTTGCACATTCTGAATGATTTTCAGCTGGCATGATGTCAGGTGATTTTGTCCCAAATGGTCTGGCTACATTAAATGCCACACTGGCTTACTGTATGATTGATGGTTAGAAAATAGTGATCAGCAGACTAGTGGCCATGGTGCAACAGTGACTGTAAGAATCTTCTCAACAGTGAACACTTTGAAGGATGGTGGTCAAAGTTCATGTATGAGGGTGAACAGGTGGCTGCAATAGACATATGGCTACAACAAACTAACAGTTTTATTTGACAGGTGGCAAAAAGGAACCATCAGCCAACATTTTCTTCATAGATCTATTATTTTCTTGTGCCTTGGTGGGGGGGGGGGTCCCAACGTGTCCAGTCTCTCCAGGTTTGCCTATGTCCTTGTGAAACCAAATTGCAGTGTGTGTGTGTGTGTGTGTTAGTAGTGATAGCTTGACTGATAGTTTGACCGATAGCTTGACCGATAGTTTGACCGATGTGCTTCATTATGATTGTTCTCATCCCTATTATATTATTATCAAGTGACAACTGTCCAGATGCCGACGCAAACTCCAAGTCCAATCCTGATTGGTAGTACAGTATCTTTCTCCCTATTTGCTCCTTCCTCAAGTCCAGAGAGATTTTCTTGTTACACCCAATAACTAAATCAGCTTTTTTTTGCCATGAAGGCTTTGGTTCTTTCGGCCGTCTTGTACGTAATTGATGCCCTTCAGTTAGCATGAGTTCAACTCTTTGCAAATCTTTTCAAGGATATAACCTAAATTGGCTTGCTATGATAGTGAGCTTTGGAAATCTTTGGAAAGAGAAACATGAAATGTGGGCCTGTTTTTGTACATGCGTAATTCAGTTGACTGAATTGACATGGCAAAGAAAACCTCTCTGGATGTGATTGATTGCATGCACCTGCTTCCACCTGCTTACCAACTATCACTGTAAATAAGCTTAAGGTCATGTCTAACTTGGGGAGTCCATGTTACTATGTGGCTGCTTTTGGTTTGCCGAGAAAACTCTTGAACTTTTCAGTTTCTCTCAAAAAGAAGCACGTGAACATAATCGCTTTTGGTTGTCTGCCTTGCTTAAAGTTGTTGTTAAGGGAGCATCACAAAACGTGGGACACTTCCATTCCTAATTGGGATTTCCCATTTAGGCATTCATAAATTCATTTTTATTCCCAGTGGGTCTGGCCAGATTGCCAACAAACTTGCACAGACAAATGCCACATTTGCAGGAACCGTTGGTATTTTTGTGACCTACCGTTCAGAGCCACCAAGGGCAAAACATCACATGCTTGCACTGGTTCCTGCTTGAATTTGGCACAGAATGTGCGTGGTCATTTTTCAATGGAATGTGTACAAGGCCACCCTGGCCTCACATCAAGAGGACTGGTCTAGAGGGCAGGTGCAAGTCTGAAGTGGCACTGCAGAGCCCAATTTGTAGTCTTATAAATGCATAGCGATTAGTCGTACTTTTACAATCTCCTTACTCTGAGGACAAGAACAGCATGTCAGTCAATTTGACGTCCACGTTTTGTGATGCGTTTTTTCTACACTCCAAAAAACCTTTTTTTGAAAGCCTCAAGTAACATGGGTATTATCTACAGTCCCCAGACAAAGAAAAGACCACTTCACACTCCAACCCCAAAACACCACATTTCCAAGAGCTTCATTTTTGAGTTGATTTCTTTTCATTTTAATGAGTGTGACAGACAAAACGGCAATTATATCTCCTCAAATATGAACTGTAAAGAGACCTGTTTTGGTTTTCTTTTTTGACAACTTTTTTTAATGCATTTAGTTGGAAAAATATCAATTTTTTTATCAACGCATGGGCCATTTGGCTTTTGGGGGTTTTTTGAGGAATTTTAACCCAAAAAATTAATCTTGCTTGGGAACATAACCACTGATTACGTTATTCAAATCTGAGAAGCTCAAGTCCATGCATGTTGCATTTCTGTTATTTAAGTTTGTGCAAAGTGTCCAGCATGCTTAAGCGTAATTAACATGCAGTCCAGGAATGGTTTGTTCATGTCTTACGTCACGTCCTCCTCATGCTTGCACTGTGTTCAGAACCCCCCTCCCAACCCTTGCCCCCCCCCACTTCCTACTGAAAGCTCCACCCAGTCAACCTCAATACTCCATTACCAAAAGTGCCTTGTGTTTCGTTCCAGGAATGAGGTTGGTCATCGAATACCAACAGTGTACATCCGTAATCTTGTATTCTTTCATGAACTCGCATGGAGTTGGCGGAGAAAAAATCCAGACAAATTCTGATAGTCGGATCACAACGAGAGACCTGTTATCATTCAACCCAGACAAAGGCATCGCAAAATAACACTTGAGCCAATTTTTTTTTTTAAGCTCAAGATTCTGTTTGGGTCATAATGAAATGCTCCATCAGGAAAAAACTACAAGCCCTAAGTTACTGAAAAGTGCAGTGTAACCTTACCCATCTCATTTCCTCTAAAATCCACCAGAAGGTTTCAGAAGATTTTGTAGGACTGGGGAAGGCACAGTCAAGCCACATTGATTTGGTATGGAACTTGGAGCCAGCACAGAGTGGTTGAGGTTTTGAGAATTGAGAGAGGTTTTGAGCTTATCTGCCCAAGAGGTTACGCTTTACAAGCAGAGTTCCTTTGTCAGGTTGTCACGGCAACAGGTCTCTCTAAGATTACTGCTCTTGTTAGATGAATAAGAAAATCTACATATGCAGAATCTTTGTTATTTGATGGATATAAAACATCTCCCACTATGATGGATGACAGTACAGTTTTACCTTTTTTTACATGCCATCGTTACCCCTGATTGCCAAGCATATAATCCCATCTTATACTTATTCCTCAGGGAAATGTACTGGTTTGTGTGTGCGTTGATAAATACAGGCACGTGGCAACCAAGCAGTCTCACATATAAGACTCTTCTCTCATTGGTTGTCATACCTCCCCTGGGTGGGGAAACACTATCATGATGAAACGTATTACCCATAGACACAAACCGTGTTCAAAAGTTCTTTGAACTCTTGCAGCAGTAGACCTCACTATTTTGCTTGGTATTTTTTGTTCTTTTTTTTTCATTTTTTAAATTTTGAGTTTTCCTTTGAGTATCAAATAAAAAGAAGTAGGAATTTGTCATTGCTTTGCTTGCTTTCAACGATAATGTACATGTATGCCATGTGTTTGAAAACTTCTCAAAGGAGTGCAAGACTTGCTTTAATGGAATCACAGAAAATGCATGTGCCATTTATTAAAAACAAAATGGAACTAAGATTTTGACTTCAGGAGATACTAATGTTTGGGGAATCTTGTTTTGTCATTCTGATCTTTTGAATCAAAACTTTTCAGGGCATTTATTTTCCCTTTGTTTTTTACGTTTGTAATGAATGTTTTATTTTCTTTTAAAAAAGACAGTGTCGTTTCTCAAAACTTATTTTCTCAACATGACTTGTTTTACACTCATGCATTTGCATGATCTCATGACAAGGTGTGTACATTAACAGCATTTCAGTTTTGTGACTTATTATCGAAGTATTAAGTAAGAGTCTCCACATCTGTTCCAAAGCATCCAGTATTACCATAACATGAGCCAAGTAATTTCCACATTTCCATAAAAATACAAGGAGTAAAGGAAACCGTGTAAATGTGATGTCTGTGATTTTTTGGAGACAGCACCCCAACAGGCTCCCACTGGTGTCAAGGTCACACCCAAAGGAAGTAACAGTGTGACGGTCAAGTGGAATTCCATCACGACCTCAGCCAATGAGGAGCCTCTTTCAGGTTACAAGGTATGGCTTTTTTTTTTGGAGAAAATAACATTTGCGACATTTTTGTGACATTTCTGAAAATGTTGGCTTTGTCTCCAGTGTGAGGCTCAAACTTGATCATTTTATGATTTTTTTTGGTAGATTTGGTCTCAAAGTAGGCCCCTCTTGTTCTCCATGAAATTTAGAAAGATTCCATTCGGAATTTCTCAATTCAAATTTATTTTTAAAAGCCTCTTAATGGTTCGGGGATATAATCAATGAATTGATTAGTTTTGAAATTGATTAATCAGTTTGCTGTTACTTCATTACCAGCAGGTGCATTAAACTTTAAAGTTTTCTGTTGCTGGATGCTATTTGATGAACCTGTTGGCTGTTAAGATTTTTGCCTGCTGGATTTTATGAATTGGCTCAGCAAGTTTTCATTGACATTGTTTGCTGTGATTTCTTGGCTTGTTTGGTGCATGGCAGACACAGAAATCACTGGCTCCCTGCTCATCTTGTTCATTGACTGTGATTCGTCAGCCTCTGTCCTACCACATGATTAGCCCAGTGGTCAAATGTTTAGCCCGAGACCACTGACACCAAAGCCACTGTCTTCTCTTTCATTCCAGGTCCTGTACTGGCCTCAGGGAGACTTTGAAGATGACGCCGCCATTGAGAAAGTCAACAAAAACACCAATCAGATCACCATTGATGGTCTGAAACTGGGCACTACGTACTATATCAAGGTCAAAGGTTATAGTAAAGGGGGCGACGGAGTGGCCAGTTCACCTCCACAGTCAATTGACATAGGTAATGTAAACATCGAAACTTTGATTTGAAGAAAAAACTGACACTGCACATGGCAGTAAAATAGCGTTGGCTTTGTGTGTCATTTTTGGGCCACCTGGGTTCCACATTCAATTTCCCCAAGACAAGATGGTAAACTTCTCAGCACTTGGTTTGCTCGGTTGATTGTCAAGAAATCTAGGGAACGAACGTTGTTTTCAAAGATTAAGATTTTGTTTTTGGACTGTGGATTAAATTCACTTTGAATTTTTAAGATCCAGCTAAAGATGGCACTGTACTGTGTTGCCGTAAATGTAACATTAATGTGTATTATTTATAGCAGCAACTCTAGCTCATTATAACGCATCATGATCATGAAAGCCCAATTTCATGACATTGCCCTGCCGAAAATATTACTGAGAAAAAAATGGTTAAAAGTACGTGTTGCAAGACGTTGGGGAGCCCGGGATGGGGCTCCATATGTGGACAACTACATTTAAGTCTATTGTCTAGAGCTACCCGGCAGGTCTAAGTCTTTGCTCCGTTAGAATTATGCAGAGACGCAAAGGCAAAAGATGTAGCCATTGCTTTGGAAGCCCGTTTTGGATGCGGCCTTAGTGCCTCTTTTTCAGAAAAAATTCCAGTGAATTCACACAGCTCAGATGCACCACAGAGGATGTTTCATCTTGGGGAGGGGGATTCAGGCAAACTCTTCAGTGCTGGTTCTCAGTCCTCATTAAGAATGAAAAAATAATAACTTCCATGCCTAATTAACGGTGATTGATGGCGTCTTGTTCTTAGGTGCAGCAGGCGAACAGTCACCAAGAGGTGGAAAAGCAACACACATCACGGCGTCTACTCTTCTTGTGTTCCTTCCCCTCCTTGTTGCCTTTCACCTACACTGAAGTGGTACCGCCCAGTGTCTTTTGGACCACTCTGATCATGTGTACATGTTTTTTATATTAGCCAGTCTGTGCTGCACGAGATCATCCTGTGTTTTAATCGATATCATATTGATAACGTACCAAGACTGACTGTTTGGATTTGTGGATTAAATTTTGAAGCGAGCTTTCCAAATGCAACAAGGAGTAAAATATTGCTAGCTGTTGGATTCCGTTGCTTATTGGCCAAAAATTAAAAAAAAATTACAGTGTTCATCAACTGTCTGATGTTTGGAAGCTTGCTTTCAAGTTGTTCTGCACTTCATTTAAATATTTGCACTTTCAGAGAAGTGTTGCATTTAATTTTGAATGTTACAAGTACCACCGTTGTTAACGACATCATCCTTTTTTGTAAATTAAATCTTATTCTAAAGTATTTCCCTTTCATGTTTAACAAGAGAGACATTTTTACTTTTTTATGAGTTTGTGAATATTGCTATGTAAACTTTGCTTTGTTGTATTTAAGATAAGCCTGTATCGTTACAAGTCACATGCCAACTCTGTCTCTACCTAATACAGCTAGATGTCATGTTATGCAATTTTATCCAAGTTTTTAAAAAGGAGGTAAGATGTTCCAGATGCATGTTCCAGAAGACATTGCAGACCAGAATTAGTAGTGCCCTGTATTATAATCATGAAATAGAGTCGTAGTTAGATTAGTACTCCATCTTGAAGAACGTGTAACAGAACATACCGTGTTACTTTGCATGAAAATACTCACCAGCCTTGGCTGAGGAAGTTGCCGTAAATCGTAGGAATTCCAGATCAACAAAGCCCTAAGTGAAATCTGTACATGTGCTCGCCACTATGTCAAGTACCTGTGGTAAAGGGTTTTGTCAAGCGCTGCATGAAGGTTAGGCAGAGACAGAGGCTTGATTAATTGTAGTAATGGTTGTCGCTGCTACTGGACTGATTAGTGTTGAGTGAGGCTTTTTATTTGAACTAATATATAATGTCAGAGTTGTAAGTGCTGTTTCGAGTTATGCAATTTTATCTTTAATCTCCGTGTTTCTAGGCCTTAATGACGGTACAGTGATAAACAATTTTGGTTTAATGTCTGAACTCTCAAATCTATTAATAGATGTGTCGTGTTCCATCTTTTCTGCACAGTAATGGAAGTTGCTATTCAAGTGCTTACTGCTCTCCTGAAGCAAAAACAAAACAAAAACAAATCAAAAAACTGGCTTGAAATTGCTTGTTGCTGTGCAGAGAGAGGCTTTGAAAATTGTGTACTGAACATTCGCATACATTGTAAAATTAGTAGCAAATTGTCTGAAAATTAAACATTGTATGGTAGTTGTCATTCCAGTCATGAAGAATGATCCTGTCAAAAGTGGATGATTGATTGAGAACTTATTGGACGGGCTGTGCGACCATGAGGTCTGCCGTGACATCGGCCAGTTACTGGCCAGGGCTGCCGAACAGGGTCATCACAATATGGATCAGGATAGATAAGACAAGTTGCCTTAGTCAGCTTAGACCTAGAATGTTTGATCACCTGAGACTTTGAGCACCTGAGATATTGTGATTCACCTGATTCCTTGGAATCTTCTTATGAATGGACTTGTAAAATATTAGCTCGTTGTAAAAAAAGGTGAGTTCATGCCCTAGAAATTGTACGTTGTGTAGTGTTGTCATTAGACATAGTTTAAGTAGTATGTGATGTGAATAACAGTGAAGGGATAAACACAAATGCAATCTAGAAAATCACAGGGAAAAGGGGTGGGGATGCAGATATGGAATGATTGAAAAGCAATACCTTTGTATTCAGCACAGAAGCCATGATGGCTAGCCTGTCACAGTAAACCAGACTGCCCTGGCACAATGAATGTTTCACTGTAGGTTAAAACGACCGGAGCATCTAAATGGCATATGTGAGAATAGCGTTGTTGGTACATTCTGTACATTGTGGAAGGTGGTAGAAAACAGCTCTGCATGACTTCAAATTTCCTGGTTGTGCAAAGAAATAGCAGACAAACCAACAATTTACATTTAGGTGCACAATTTGGTACAGACAATTCTAACTTGACTTACACAGTAGTGTGAAATGTAGATTCAGAATTCTATTGATGTAGTTACACTCTGCCAAAATTATTTTAGAAGGTCTCGGTAAAAAACGTTCACTTTAGTAGGAACTAGAAAACAGTTGATCCGTCAGCGCAGCAATGACCAAAATAAGAGCAATATGAATTGCACACTTTCTCTATCCAAAGAACACTCCCCCATCCCATTGACTTTTCATACAGGGAAATTTATAAGGGTTTCAAATTATAAACTGTACACATGAGTGTTGTGAAAGTGGCAGTGTACGCACTAGGTGTTGTGTTAGTTTAGAAAATTCTTGACATATTGGCAGTTGTAATGGATCAAAATACCAAATGTACATGTAGACTTGTAAATGTGCATGTAGGCAGGTTGTATAATTAGCCATGGATTGTGTGGTGAATGTATAGAAATGTGGTCAGTCAGCTGTCTTAGATTAACATCATCTTCATTTTAAGTTCTGTTTAAATGTTCATAAGGTTTTCAGGGAACAGTTTCCGTGTTAGCTAACACCAAGAAATAAATGATTGGGTTCTCAAATGACAATTCATGCAAATGTGATACACAGAGAATGTTGTATGTGATAAGGATCAAAAGCAGTAAAGTTGCTACTGATTGTGCATTGACAGTTCAACAGATTTGGGGAAAAAAAGGAGTTTTCATAGGAACCTTGAAACTAAAAGTACTTACTTCAGAATCCCAAAGACAATAAGTACTTTTTGTTAATTTTAAGTACCCACTATTAGTACTCTAGTTTATTAATTGACTCTTCTGGTATATGTACGGTAATGGTAATATTATTTTATACTGTACAGTTTGGTTTACCCTGATAGCATTTCTGATGTTTGTGTATTTATTTAGTCTAATTTCTGTATCATATCATTAGTTCTGTACCTCAGCATTCTTGTTTGTTATTACTAAAAACGGGTTTTCACTGTAGAACAGTTTAACCTTCTTACAAAGTTATGGCACTTAAATGCATGGAAACTGTGGCAATATTGGAGGAAGTTGCCATCAAAAATTAATGGTTGAAAAGTCTTGTGTCTGACGGGGCATGTCAGCAGATCTATTTTACTTTTCATGGTCAGAATTTATGTTAATAATTGTGTCTGTTTAACAATCATTTGTCACTACTTTCACTGTTTCTATTTTCTTTTAGTGTTGAATTAAAAGTACTACTGTACATGTGTATTGACGTCTCTTTGTACAACTTTTTCCGTACTCTGCTGTCCATCAATCAAGAGTAATATTGAGCCAACAGGGCTTGCTCTTTTGACGTCACAGTCCAGTTTTTCCTAAAAGTGGCTGTTAAAACTGTGGTTAAGGAAAAGAATTAGAAATCCCACGCAGCTATCAGAATACTGGATGATAAGATATTACTGTTCATTACCAAACAGGGGTAGATTGGGGGCATCCCCACCCTTTTCACTAAAAAAATACAGGAAAAGAGAAGAAAACATGGAAAAAAAGGGAGATGGAAGAAAACAATGGCTGACCCAGTCCCATAAATTTGGCAAAGGCGTAAGAGACAACAATTCTACATCAGGTTTCCCAACCTCCCTAAGTTTAAGGCCGCGAGTCCAACATACTTGGTTCACACTCTTCCTCTGGAATATCCACACGCCTCCTTTGGGAAAATGCCGGATGCCCTTGCTAAGTAAAAATACGCCCCTACTTAAAACTAATGGGAAAAAGGTAATTTTGAACAAATCGGAAGTAAACTTGAAAGCCAACCAAAAAGTGATATTTCTGCAAACTTGCTGCCCATCTAAAGCTAAGTGGTCAAGCTAAGTAGTCAAAGTATAAGCTTTCTGTTAGTGTGGCTGTCAGGAGGTAAAGGATACTTCCACCTTACCCCATCCAAAAAGGGAAACTTACATAATGAAAAAAGAACTGAAAAAATTAAGGGTATGGGGAATGAAAACCACCAATCTGCTTGAAACTGCCTCGGTATGAATAACCCCTCAATCTTACCCTTTGATAAAATAGATCCTCTGCCCCCCCCTGAAATAATGAACATAAATGAGACTTGTGACAGCTTCGAAAATTTATGTCCGGGAAAATTATGCGCCGTTTACTTCAAGGCCTGCGACTGGTTTGTGGCGTATGACGTAAAATTGATATGCAAATTTTACCACTGTCGCGTCGCCTTGCTGGAAAAGATGGCTGCGCCCACGGTTTTTCGAGGAGTAGGCTTGGGCCTATCCAAAATTTCGAAGACTCCTCTTTCACTCTGCCGAGAGTCGCGACTATTTAATGCAGTTAAACAGGTGAGACCTAGGAAAGTTAGAGAAGGTCGATAGGCCTATCTTCTTTTCTTTTCAAGAAACTTTCAATTGACGAACGATGCCGGGCCTGGCCCGGCCCCACGCTTGCGCTGGCCGCGCCTAGCGCCTGCACCACCACCAATCACCATCATGACCATGTCCACGAGTGTGACCTGGAAACTTGCCTTGCTTGTGAATCTGAATGGTGAGGTCAGCAAAATGTCCTCCAAGAAACATCCACGCTAACTTCTGAGACACGCACTGCGTGTGGATACAGCAAGGCGAGTCTCCGGGCCACACTCGCGGGGCGAGGTGGTCATGTCTGCAAATATGCACACTGTAGGCCTACCACCGTAAGATTATCATAATTACATGTACATTGTAGTGCTTCTACTCTAGCATGCATGTCTAGTAACTTCAACTCCAAGGCACCTTAGCCCAATTAATATCTGGTTCTGTTTCCAAGAGGTACATGTATAGAAGAATGATTCAAACACCCAAATGTGCCGAACGAAAGCATAAATAGAACTTAAAGAAGGAGGAAACCCAGGGAAATGTTCATTTTTGCTTCATTCATTAATCCAGCCTTATTTCAGCAGGGGCATCCCAGTGAAAGTTGCCTGACTTCTCAAAATTGGCAGCTTCCCCTAATACGGGCCCATATGTTTATACATGCCCTTACATCAATATCAGTGCACCGAAATTGAAGTAGATGTGAAAGGCAATTGAAAACTCTGATCGAATTGAATACGTAACCGCTTCAACTCTAAAATTGGCTTCAGAGGATGCGGCCGAAGAAACATCCCGTCTGTTTCTTAATGAGCCGCTGAATTCATTACCAATCTTTTCAGAGATAATGATGTCAAAGACGTGTCAGAAACAGCCTAATAGGGGATGCCTCTTTCACAATCTTGTAATGCACTCAAGTACAGACTGGGCGAAGTGGAAATGGGGCAAAGTGGCGGTGGGGCAAAGTTGGAATGGTACAATGTGGTTAGGTGCGAAGAGGTTAGAGTGAAGTGGTTACGGGGCGAAGCGGAACTGCGGTGAAGTGACTGTAAAGCGGTGTGGTGGGTTGTAGGTCGTTGAGTCCAGCTCAATTACATGTAAGCTACATCACTCTTCATGTAGAACCCTAGAATTTTTGGAGATGGGGTCTGATTTTAAGTCAGCCTTTATGTACAAAAATGTATAATTTGAACATGTTCAAGTCTGTGGAACATGTAGGAATATCCATGCTTGCTACACAGTACGACATATAGCGCGTGCCCTGCCTATATTTGTATCACTCCATGATCAAAAAAGCCAGAGTATCTGCACTGGTTCACTGAACTGTGTTGGTTTAGCTTTCAAATTAAAGTTGTAAACATCTGTTTTAAATTGTAGTTTGGCCAAGTCACTTCACTCCTCGTTTCTAACGTCACTGTTTTTATGACCCCACGTCTGTGTTCCTTTTACTTGTGATCATTCTTCCCTAATCATTACTTGTCGTCTTTTTATTACAACAGCCGCTCTGCATTGCAGGACAGCAGTTGAGCAGTACAAGACAACATCTAACTTCAGAAGTGAGTTTGTCTTCCACAGTATAAGAAATTTTGTAGTGCATTTTAAATCAGTTTTGCTTGACAAAGTAGTGTCTTTATGCTGTTGACAACATAGGCATGTACTTTGCTGCAATTTTAGTGTGATACTTATGTTTGGAGTAGTCTATTTTCATGTTCAGCTTTGAGATTAAAAGCTTCTACATAATTCTTCAAGCAGAGGTGAAACCTACATGTAGGCTGGATAATGAAGACCAGATTTGAGGAATCTTAGCAGGTTTTCTTGGTGTTTTTTAACAGCACCTAGCAGCGAGATATGGAGGTTGGCACACAGTCACACTGATTCCAGGTGATGGCATTGGCCCAGAACTAATGGCACATGTCAGGGAGGTCTTCAGGTAAATAAATCTGATTGTGAGCTCTATGTTTGGTTTTTGTGCCTTTGAGAATTTAAGAGAGTTTTTATTTTATCGAATTAATCTTTTGTCTTTTTCACCACTCTTGGAAACCATTGTAGTTTGAATAAAAGAAGTTGCCCAGAACCATGTGCAGAAGGATTATCAGAAGGAAAACATAGACTACTGATATCATTTTATCCTTCCTTTGTGACTTTCCGAAACTGAATATGTAGCCGTTTGTTTTTGGTGAGCTACGAAGCAAGTGCTAGCCTATGTAATACTGACTTCCGTCTTCTGTCCGTCCGTCTGGCCGTCCTCAAATATTAAAGTTTTTCCTTGCCGGCCCATAGGTGTTAAAATGTGCCATTGAGTGCTTGTTTGCTTGTATTTGGAATTCCATCAGTGTTTAAATAGTCTCATATGGCATTAATGCTCAGAAACTTATGAATTTAATGAAAAAATTATAAAAGTAGAGTCCATCACAAGTCCCTTCCCTGCACCAACCTGACCCCTGTTGTAGTAGAGTCCATCACAAGTCCCTTCCTAAATCCTGTTACAATTCCAATCACAAGACCAGTCATAAGTGATGGGTGAACAGTGACAAAGGGACGCTTTTGTCACAATTCATAAAGCTTGTGACTTGGCTTAAGACTAAATGACTTGTGATGGCCTTGCAATGGATTTACAGGGACTTCTGATGGGCTCAATGACAACGCTGAACCTGATGCTGCAACAGGTGCCCCAACCCTGCAGATTTGGTGCGAAAGAATCTTGTAGACTTAATGAGTTGTGCTGATTACAGGCATGCCGATGCTCCAATCGACTTTGAGGAGTTGATGCTGAGTGGAGAGAGAGCATCAGTAGAAGGGGAAGGAGTGGAGGATGCCTTGGTAGCCATCAAGAGGAATGGAACAGCTCTCAAGGGAAACATCCACACTGAAGTCAACCGCCTGGCTGTCTGTAAATCAGACAATGTCCGACTCAGGTCAGTTGGTATCGGTGTTATAGCTGGGATCCTCACAGACCATCACAAGATCATCACAAGACCGTCTTAAGATCATCACAACACCAACACCAGACCTCCAGTCTGAATGCAAGTCACAAGCTATTTAAATGAAATGCAGCAGCATTCCTTTGTCATTGTTTAGCCTGTTACTTGTGACTGGTCTTGTGATGGTCTTGAGACTGGTCTTAGGAATGGTCTTGTGATGGTCTTGACCATAGCAGTTGTAGGTATAGAACATGCCCTGATGATGTCACTGGCCCAGTATGGTCATCGATGATAACATTTAGCACAGTAGCATAGTGTTTGTGAAGCAGAAAATTGCACTGCATTGTCGTGTATGCTTGTTTGTTTCTTGTAGATTAAAAAGTCTCATTGAATAAAACAGGATGCGAGAAACAAAAACACTGTAACCCACCAAAAAGGGACTAATTTATTTCCAGTTATCTTTCAAGAATAATTTCCAGCCAAAACAGACCCACCTGAAGACTCCAATCTTGATTGCATTTTTCTTCTACTGGTAATCGTTCAAACCTACAGGCAGATTTTAGAGAGATGACTCATTTACTTTGGGAGTGGCTCATCCAACACCTCATATTTGATCAGATTAATTTGGGCGAGAGCCCAGCAGTAATGAGTTGTTTCCGTTGTATCAATTATCCACAGAGTTGGGCTAGATCTGTTTGCCAACGTCATTCACTGCAAAAGTCTTCCGGGACTACAGACGAGACACAGTAACATTGACATCATCATCATCAGAGAAAACACTGAAGGGGAGTACTCCAGCCTAGAACATGAGGTTGGAAACACCATGCTATTTGTTTTGGACTGACATGTGACTTGTTTTCCTCATAAATGATCTTTTGAAATTGAAATTGAAATGTTTTTATAGAAAGTCTTGTTAATTAAAAGTACATGTATGGAAATATTACAGGAAAAGCAAAACTACTTAGTTTTAGACAGTTGACAATATGATCAAATTATTTGAAAATGTGAGGAATGGACATTTGAAAGTGTTCATGTTTCTGCTTTTTACCTTGTCTTTGTGAATGTTCATATTTTCCTCAAAAATTCTGCCAGTAATCACTCTTTTTTGCTGGATAGAGTTCGAATGGTGTGGTTGAAAGCCTGAAGATCATAACAGAGGAACGGTCAAAGCGCATCGCTAAGTACGCATTTGACTACGCAACCAAACACAATCGCAAGAAGGTTACCGCCATTCATAAGGCCAACATCATGTAAGTTAAAAGTAGTTTGCTCCAAGGTCAATTGACAGGTCATCCAACACAGCATGGGCCAGCCATTTTAGGATTTCAGTTTCCATTATGAAGTTGTATGAGTCACATGGAATATAAATTGGAGTTGTCCATTCAGACTTGACCTATCAATTGTATCTTATTTTGTCAATTGTAGAATAAGTCGTATTGCAATTTCAAAGAACGTGGACAAAATAAGACAGGTGTCTATAGAGCTGTAGTCCATTTATTGTAGTCTTGGCAATTCTTCCTCGCAGGAAACTCGGAGACGGATTGTTTCTGGAGAGTTGCCGTAGTGTGTCTAAGCTTTATCCAAAGATTGAATTTGGTGATATGATTGTGGACAATTGCTGCATGCAGGTTTGTAAAGGATTTGGTAAGGGAGAATGTCTTAAAATATGTAAGAAATGGTGGAATCCAAGATTTCTCTCCCTCATGGTGATATTTTCTGTTGTGACTACTTGTAGCTAGTATCTGGGATTTTTACCAATTTGGAACTGTTTCAAATTTTAAGGCTTGACAAATGTCTTCTCTTAAACACTTCTCGTATGATCTGTTTGGCACTGCCTATGGCACTCATTGTGAGCACGTTTGATTATTACTACACAATTACGTACATGTATTTTTGCCTTGTGGCATTTGGTGTAAATAGGGACTCACTGTACAAAGTGCCGATTGAGGTTCAAGAACACCCGTCTGCCTTTGAGTTCATGTACTATGGAAATGGGGGGGGTTTACCCATTTTATTGTGCTGTGATTAAATCTGGTTTTTTTTTTTTATTTGTGTGTTTCACTTATTCAGCTGGTATCCAACCCCAATCAGTTTGATGTCATGGTGATGCCCAATCTCTATGGCAACATCATCAGCAACATAGGCGCTGGACTTGTTGGGGGACCAGGGCTGGTGCCAGGGCAGAACATCGGAGAGGAGTTTGCTGTCTTTGAAACGGTAAGAAGGTTAAATCCCTCCTCTCTCTGTGGCCAAGAGTTGTCCTTTAAGCGAGCTAACTGAAGAAAAACAGGAACTTTAAAATGCATCTTTGATTTTTCCTTGCATGATAAGTTACTAAGCAAATCTGCTGAGCAGGTCTTTGTATCACACATCGTTGGTTTGAATTATTCAGTGTTTCATCTCGTAAATTGGGCTCATTTGCATACACGGACAGCGGTGACATTCTATTGTGATAGATATTATCAAAACATTTTGGTTTACTGTGGGATAATTTACATCAAGAGTTCGCAAACCAGGGGATAGGGCGATGAACTGCTGTGTTCAGAAACCTCAGCAATTTTTCAAAGATACTGCAGAGAGATAATGCAATGT